TGTATGTACCATAGTTTGGTTATCCATTCCTAAGTTGATGGACATCTAGGTTGTTTCCATGTTTTGGCTATTGTAAATAGTGCTGCAATGAACATCGGCGTGCATATATCTGTTCTTGTCATGGCTCTCACTTCTCTAGGGTATATACCTAGTGAAAAACAATTTTTAAATTGAAGTACTACTTAAGTTAAATTTAAATATATATATTGATTGTTAAATTTGGAAATTTTATATTAGCCATTTTTTTCCAGACATGATTCTCTCTGTTGTTCTTTCTTTAATTCTAGCCCTTTTTACATTGGTGTATTTAATGCTTGGCTTTTCTCCCAACCATCTTATTTTTATATGTCTTCTAAGTTCAGCCCAACGCATACCTACATATGTTGTTCAGATTTGTATGAATTTCTGAATTCTCTCCCTTGCTTTGGATGTTACTTTAGAAACAAAATGCTTCCTATTGCTCATCTATGATCATCATTCCGCACCACCACCACTCCCCTTTCTCTTCTTTTTCATGTTATAAGGTGTAGAGAAGCTTTCATCTTACAGATTTGGGTATTTAAAGCTTGATATTTTAAAAGGGTTTGGGAGAAGCCCACAGATAATACCATTTGCCCTTTAAAAGCTAATTAATTGCATTTATTTATAAATTTTACAAATAGACTACTTCTTTTGCATGTACTTTTCACATTCCATAGTTTGTATATAATTTCATCTTGACTAGACAGATATTTCCCAGAATTTATTCTAGTTATATTTGGATAATGTTACACTGCAGCATTTTATTTCCCTCAGCTATCTGTGATCCTGGAAACGTATGTGTGACTGAAGCCTGCAAACACCACCTGATCTCTGAAGAACTGGAAACTCCAACAAAAGACAGCCACCTGATTCCTACACCAAAAGCCCCTAGTATTGCCTTCCCCCTAGCCAACCCACCGGTGGCTCCTCACCCTAGAGAAAAGGTTTGTTATCACTGGTGATAGATTTTTGGATATTGCTGTTATTTTGTATTAGAACTTTGCTGTTTTCAATTATCAGTGATTCATCAAATATTAAAAGCATTTTTGGCATTATATTATTAATTCTGTATTTAGTAACTCAGAAGACAGAGTAAAATGTCCCTGTAAAAGAATCTGGTAACTTTTTAATGTTAATTTTTTCTAAAATAAACCTTTCCATTCATTCCAGGTTATAACAATAGAGGAGACTCGTGAAGACTTAAAAAAACAGTACATATTTCAGTTGTCATCTCTGAATCCTCAAGAACGTATTGATTATTGTCACCTTATTGAAAAGCTAGGTACCACTTTTATTTAAAATCTTAGAGGTTACCACATGGCAGCCCTATTTGATGTAGAATTTAAGGTAAAGAAGATAGGTAATCAGTTAAGGCTGTACATGGAGTCCAAATTGGAGCTGTTATTTTATAGTCACTGGATCACTGGGTCATGGGATTAAAGAGTTAGATTGAAACCAATAATTAAGGTTTTAGAATCTCCTATACTGCTTTGAGCATTTGTTCATTGATGAAACTGGACAAAAGAAAACTACAAACTTACAATGTAAATAAAATTGCATGTTAATGAACTTGAAGGTACAATGAGAAACAGTCAACTCTGCTGGATTCTGAGAAAATCAGAAGGAATGATCCCAAGGCCCTGACACAGGAGTCATGCTGTTTGCTCCGTACTGTCCACCTGTAGCCTCATTAGGTAGCAGCATCCTTATTCCATTTGTCAGGCTCTCCATCTGACATCATTCTGGAAGCAACCTCCTAGAGGGATAACCCGATGCTATGTAGCAGCACTGTACAATATGAATATGACCAGAGCCACATATGTAATTTTATATCTTCTAATAGCCACATTTGAAATAGTACAAAGGAACAGGTGAAATTAATTTTAAACATGTATTTTATTCAACCCAGTGTTTCTGAAATATCAGTAATGAATGTAAAAAAATAACAGATTTTTCATTTTCTTTCATACTTAAGTCTTTGAAATTTTGTATATAATTTATACTTCCAGTACATCCCAATTTGGACTGGCTATGTTTCAGTTGTTTGATAGCCACATGTGGCTAGTGGCTTCTATATTGGGCAAAGTAAATCTGTAATCAAGTTAGCAAAATTGTAGTAAGAGAACTCAGTTTGATAGCTTGACATCAAGAGAGAAAACAATAAGAAATAATAGTTGTTTCTAAGAGTGGTCTTGAGTCATCAAGAAAAGATTAAAGGTTAGTAGTGTCCTTTTAAAGATGTGGAGAAATGTGATATTTGTTATTTCAAAGAGTATTGGTCAAGTACAGAGGCGCTCTAGTGGTACTGTGGTACTGTGTTTTCATTGGGTTACTAACCAAAAGGTGGGCAGTTCAAACCCACCAGCTGCTCTGTGGGAAAACAATGGGGCAGGCTGCATCCATAAAGATTTGTTGTTGTTGTTGTTATTTGCCATCGAGTCGGCCCCGACTCATAGCGACCCCTCCTTGGGTTTCCGAGGCAGTATCACTACGGAAGTAGGATTGCCCAACCTTCCTTCCAAGGAGTGGCTGGTGGGTTTGAACCGCCAGCCGTCTGGTTAGCAGGCAAGTGTCTTAGCCACTATGCTACCATAAAGATTTACAGCCTTGGAAATCCTATGTGGCAGTTCTACTCTGTTTCATAGGGTTATTATGAGTCAGAATTGACTGGATGGCAGTGGGTTTGTTTCATCTTGGAGCCTCCTTGTGTGGAACACTTTGTCTCTTAGTCGCCCAGTGAATTAGATGGGGTAAATAAAGAATTGCTGAGCTTTACCTAGAGCTCACCAAATGCACCACTTCAAGTGTTTGTTTTCTGTACACTGTCTCTGTGAACCAGACAGGACTAGTAGCAGTTAGAGGATTGATCTAGAAAAGGACAGGAAGCAGTGGCGGATGAGTATAGAGTGTGCTGTTATGGGGAGTTTGTGATAGTAGAGGGTCTTTTTGAAGAGACATCCTAATAGCTATTATGTTCGGCCCTTCCTTTCATAAGTAAAGCAGCTGTGGCTAACAGATAATAAATAAATAAAAGTCTGTTAAGTTGTTTGAGTTACGGGATATATTTGTTACATGGAAGTGGATATTATATTAATAGGGAATTTCACACTGTGTTTTTGTCACTCTTTCATCCTGGAGTAATTTACAAATGATAAGAGTAACCTACTTTCGAGATCCTGGATAGAGAAGGAGAATAATGTGGAACAAAACTTAAAATCATTTGGAGGGAAAAAAAAAGGTGGGGACCAGGTTTGCTGGTCCAATAGAGCCTGGTGGAACTACTGAGATGATAGCCCCTGTCTGCCCTTCAGGTCTGGAATTGAACCCACACCTGTGGTTTCCAGTCAAACAGAGTACAGGCATGTGAGTTAAACATTTACCTCAAGTAGACACACACTTTGGAGAGAACAATCATGGGAGAAAGAAGGGCTGCTTATGCCCAGGGAGACAGCTCAGGGACAGGAGAGTATGGAGGGATGGACACTGGGAAGAGGTTAAGTATGGGGAGGAAGTGGGAGAGGAGCTGGTGCATTGTGGTAAACTGTGGTCAGTGACATGAGACAAAGTGTATGTGAACTGCTGTATGGAAAGTGAATTTGCTCTGTAAATCTTCACCCAGATCACAATAAAAAAAAAAAAAAAAAAAGAGTAACCTACTTTCATAGGGTTGTGAGAATTAAACGAGTTTATAATTTGAAGTGTTTACAACAGTCCCTGGCACATAGTAAGTGCTCAAAGGTGTTGCTATTCTATTATTATCATCATTATTATTAGAGTCATCTGTAAATCATGTGTAGAGTTTGAATGTTTTGTTAAAGTCTTAGAAAGTCCTTGATGCAACTGCCTAACCACTAGTCAAGTTGTCTTCTAAACTGTAAATCAATAGCCACGCTTTACGTAAGCTTCTATTTACTTATGCTTTCATCTCACCTCAAAGCCAGACTTCATACACATACATCTGAGAAAAGGTTCCTGCTATTGCTTTTTCCTTCTGCTGCTTTATCCTCTTCTAATTACCTCGTGTGTGTGTGTGCTTTCCTCTCAAGCTTCTGAGGTCTGCTGGCCTTATTTCTGCTCACAAAAAAAAAAAAAATTGTCTCCTGCTTTTAATCTGCAGGTGATGCTTTTTGACTTGAAGCTTTTGAAAATTGCAAAAGCAGTTGTACAGAGACATAACGACCAACTGCAGTTGTGTGGTTCTTAAGTTTATCCTAGTTCTTTTGTCTTGATTAAAACAAACCCACCGCAGGCAAATTTGAGGCAAAAAGAAATTTGAACAAGGATTTAGTCTTTAGATAGCAAAGAATTCTTCTTAATTATAATAGATCTTATAATGGCATTGTGGTTATATAAAAACTTTTCCATGTGTTAGAGATGTCTACTAGGATGTGACATGGGATCTAGAATTTGCTTTAAAATAGTTAAGCACAAAAGGGAGTAGATTGTAATAAGGTTGGCAAAATGTCGATCATTTTACTCTTTGGGCGGCCAATGTATGGGGGGCTTCCTGCACCATTTACCTACTTTTGTATTTTAAATTTGTCACAATAAATACAATTTTACAAAAAAGAAAAAAAAAAATATATATATATATAAATTAAAATAGTTGTCATTCAGGGTTTATAGGTTAGATAGTTTTAACACATTTATAATTACTAGGCATGTTTGAGATTACATTTTTCCTAAGATAAAGCTAAGAATAAAGGGCAACTGATTTTTCTCTCCTTCAGGTGGATTGGTGATAGAAAAACAGTGCTTCGACCCGAACTGTACACACATTGTTGTGGGACATCCACTTCGAAATGAGAAGTATTTGGCCTCAGTGGCAGCGGGGAAGTGGGTGCTCCATCGCTCCTACTTGGAAGCATGCAGGACTGCTGGGCACTTCATGCCGGTGTGTATTCACATGGATGGGAAGGGGCACTTTCTGTAGCACAGAGTCCAGCACATGTGCTGATCATTCATGTAATTGAAATAACCAAACATGACTGATTAGATTATACCCATTATTAGAAGGCCCTCATTGATAAAGCAAAAAGATTTAGAGATCACAGAACTAGATTCTTAGTTGTCCATTTTATTTACTTTTTAAAGGATTGAATTTGAATGTGGCTGTTCATTTTATTTTTATTTTAATCGAAGTAACATTGTCTGTTAACATTAGGAAATTTCAAGATTATCTCATAGCAAGTTTTACCTTTACTGTTAGCCCATTAAATACTAAACTAATTATTTGAGGTACCTGGTTCCTAACTGACCAGCAGAACAGTATCTCTCATGTAGTTTTGGAAGTTTTTAGTTAGTGTCCCTTCGAGGTCTCCTCTGTAAACAGGTCATCAAGCTGTTAATACTACCTGCTCTGAGACTGTGTCCTTCTGTGAAGTTGATCATACAGTAGGTGAAGTCCAGTATTCTAAGTATTCTCAGTTGCCAAGGTTTATTTTTATCAAAAAGATTTTTTTAAGTATGCAATATGCACGAACTATTGAATGTAAAACAAGTTTGCTATGTAAGTTTGCACCCAAGCATGATAATTTTTTTCTTACTTTTTTAAAAAAGAAAAGATTTTTAAAAATAAAAGTATGCAGTATTTTTCTCAACTCTACTTAAAAGCCAGATATACTTGACTCTCATATGTAGCCAAACTAATCTGCATTTCCTCCGTATTCATAAAATGTTTAGTAGTCTCTGTAACAGTTGAAAACTATTTAAATCTTAACTAGATTGTGGGCTCCTTGAGGAAAGAAACTTTTGTATAGCATAGCAACTCCCCATATTGTAGGATCTCAAAATTTGTTGGTCTGATTCTCCAGGAAGAAGACTATGAATGGGGAAGTAGTTCCATTCTTGATGCTTTGACCGGAATCAATGTACAACAGCGGAGACTAGCACTTGCAGCAATGAGGTGGAGAAAAAAAATCCAGCAAAAACAAGAAACAGGCATTATTGAGGTATCACCATGTGTAATATGTAGTTAGTGTAAAGGACATTCAAAATCGTAACTATTGCAAATTTAAAAAGAAAAAAAAGAAGAGAATAAGCTTGACCAAATAAGAATAATTCTACCTATCTTTTATACCTTGGTGTGCATGCTTAGTTTGGATATTCTTAATTGAGCTTAATGTTAATTCTTTGTTGTTCAAACTGTGATTGACAATAAGATACAGATAATACTGTGGGTCTTTTGAAACTAATTTATATGTGTAAAACGTGACCCATACTGTATTTTTTATAAAGAATCTTTCCAGCATCTCACTTCAGGGGTTCTTAATCTGAAGTCCACAGACTTCCCTAGAAGAACTTGTGGATCAAACTTGGGAGGTTTGTAAACTTTGGATTGGGGAGAAATAGATCCTGTGATTGAAATTTCATGTTTCCTTTCATTACAAGTCTAGACAACAAATCACAGCACTGTTAGCATGACCTGTCACATTACAGTTGTAATGGAGCGCTTGGTGGATATGGTTCAGTACTCACCTGCTAACTGAAAGGTCAGCACTTCAGGTCCACCATCTGAAAAAGGTGTGGCAGTCTGCTTCCAAGTATAGCCTTGGAAGCCCTTTGGGACAGTTTACTCTGTCCTTTAAACAAGGTCTTGTGATTTAATACCTTAATTCAGAAGTACATCTGTTACATCACAAAATTTTTGTAAAATTTGGTAAAATGTGACCCATACTGTATTTTGGGCAAATCTGTTGGAAAAGACCTCTTTCACATGCTGAAGAGCAAAGATGTCTCCTTGAAGACTAAGATGCGCCTAACCCAAGCCATGGTATTTTCAGTCGCCTCAATATGCATGTGAGAGCTGGACAATGAATAAGGAAGACTGGAGAAGAGTTGATGCTTTTGAGTTGTGGTGCTGGCGAAGAACACTGAAAGTACCATGGACTGCTAAAAGAACTAACAGATCTGTCCTGAAGGAGGTGCAGCCAGAATGTCCTTGGGAGTGGGAATGGCCAGACTTTGTCTCACATCCTTCAGTCATGTTGTCAGAAGGGACCATTCTCTGGAGAAGGATGTCATGCTTGGTAAAGTGGGGGGAAGGCCTTGAACAAGATGGATTGACATAGTGGCTACAGCGATGGGCTCAGATATAGTAGGGATTGTGAGGCTGGCACAGGACTGGGCAGTGTTTCATTCTGTTTTATATAAGGTCACTATGAGTCAGAGACAACTTGATGACACATAGCAACAACATCATCATCACAAAACTTTTTTAATACGTATTTCAGTAACTTTCAATAAAGTGTTTTCCTTTTTAATCCTTTATATTTTAATTTATATATTAAAAAAAAACGTAAGATATGTGAATTACATCTCAGATGTTGTTTTGTTTTTTCAGTTATTCAGACTGCCATAGGTTTCACCAGGCGGCCAAAGTAGTTCATAGTAAACAAAAAGGTTCACAGTCTCTATGTCTTTCGTAGTATATTCTAACTTCTCTGATATCTCCACGTCTTTTTTTGCTTTGATTCCCTTCCTGTTAGAGCAATTCCACTGGCTTCTATTGTTATTTCCTATGTAAAAACTTTGTATTTCCCGTTTGCAAAAGTTTCGAGAGGAATACAGGGAAGGCTTCATGTAATCCAAGAAGCTCTGCTTTACGCTCTTTCAGTTAATCATGAGAAAAAAATACTACAAAAAATTAAACATAGGTCAGGCTGCTTTGTTTTAATGTTACCTAAACATTGAATCATTTTCCTTCATTCCAAAAATATTTCTTGATGGCTAATTGTGTGCTGGACACGATGACAGTGTGTTTCTGTGTTCTCTGACCAGAGATAAGACCACTGTGTTACAGTAAAGGTTATAAGATTATTCATTGTCATAAAACTAAATCTACAGATAAAAGAGTTTATTATCTGCATTTTTTTGGTCATTTATTTTCCAAATGATTTCAACACTATTTTTTTATTTCTAGGGGGCATTTAGTGGTTGGAAGGTTATTTTACATGTGGATCAGTCCCGAGAAGCAGGATTCAAACGTCTTCTTCAGTCAGGAGGAGCAAAGGTTTGTATTCAGTCTTTTGGCTGGATTTTTCACATGAATATTTCTAACAAAGTCTGCTGTGATCAATTCTTGATTTTCTGTACTTTGTGAGATGATAACCCTTAAATACATGCTATACAAGTTGAACTACTTTGAGACATTGATAGATTGTGATGCTGGTGCTTTTTTCATTAGGTATTACCTGGTCATTCTGTACCTTTATATAAAGAAGCCACACATCTCTTTTCTGACTTTAATAAACACAAACCAGATGACTCAGGAGTTAATATAGCAGAAGCCGCTGCACAGAACGTGTACTGCTTGAAGACCGAATACATTGCTGATTATCTCATGCAGGTTTGTGGGATTATATCCTTGACCTCTTATTCACAAATGTCCTTTTTTACTGATAGATGTAACTGCACATCAAAGCCCTTGGTTTGTTCTTAATAGAATGTTAGTCTCCTTTTACTCAGTTCTCTTCTAGTTTCATTCTATTTTATAAAATAATGAACACTTGTGTTCATTGAAAGTTAAATTATGAGAAGAGTATGTAAATCTAAGTAGCTCTAAAAGCCTTGTTAAAAACCAAAAACTAAATTCGCTGTCATTGAGTCAATTCCTAGCCCCAGCGACCCCCGTAGAGTTTAGGGAAGCAGACTGCCTCATTGTTATTCTGTGGAGCAACAGGTGGTTTCGAACCACCAACCTTGTGGTTAGCAGCCAAATGCCTTAACCACTGCACCCTGAGAGCTTCTTAAATGCCTTGATAGTACCCTTTAAAATGTTGGAATATAAAGAAAGCAGAAATTAATTCCAGAAGTCCAAGAAGAAACATTTACCCAGTAGTCCTTCTATAGTATTGTGGGGTTTTTTTTGTTTTTTTTTTAATTGTGATTTGGGTGAAGATTTACAGAACAAATTCACTTTCCATACAGCAGTTCACATATACTTTGTCTCATGACATTGGCCACAGTTTACCACAGTGCAACAGCTCCCCTCCCACTTCCTCCCCATAGTTACCTCTTCC